CTTTCCGTTGGCCAGGTGACTGCTAGGCACGTGCGGAAAGCACTTAGCAAATTGTTTTTTTCTCTCCACCATGAATCTAAGAGTCCTAGAAAACGTTTCACTAAGTCCTGCTCACTTCTCAACAGTATTTACCTATTGGCCCCAACCACACCGGCATTTTTGGTGTTTATCATGTGTAACATGCTGTACTGAGTACCCCCAAGAATTGCGTCATTTAATCATCACAGCAACCCCAAGATAACTACTGACATTGTTTCCTAATTTTACAAAAGAAGAAACCAAGCAACAGAGGAGTTAAGCAACTTGGCTAAGGTCACACAGCCATCAAGTGGCAGAGCTGGGATTTGAATCGCTTCCTCCAGAGTTTGGGTTCCTCATCAATAAACTATCCCAATTCCACATAACCGGGGAAAGAGACCAAAAATAACACCCTGACGTTCATACTCACTAACATCCTCTCAGGAAATAGCTCCTCAAAGAACCATGAGAGTGGAGTCCGCAGGGCGGGGGATGGAACTCTTGGCGTGTTCTGCACAGTAAGTATCTGGCAGAGTGTCTGGACCAAAAACACTCTGTCCTGTAACATGGAGTCTCTCTGGACGTTCCTGTGGCTGCCTCTCCCACCACAAAGTCAGCTGCTGAGGGCAAGAGCGGGGCACTGTGCCCTGCTCCTCATTTGCCAAAGCAGTGCTGTGGCAAAGGCAGGTGATCAATGCATTGCATTGAAAATGTGATGGAGAAGTAGAGGAAACAGAATAAGATGGCAAAAAATAGCATGTTTCTTTCCTTTCAAATCCAACAATGGAGTTCTGGCGGGGAGGGAGTGGCTTTGACTGTGATACTGAGGGCTTCAGTGCCGGGAAGCCAAACCAGAGGGAGGGGAGGAGGCACCGCCTACCAAGTGCTGGGGGCCTGCGCAGCCTTTTGGGCAGGGCCACTGAGAAGGGCCACAAGACGGCCCCCGCTCTCAGCCCGGGCGTGCAAGAGGCCCGGGCGCGCTGGGGCGGGCCGGAGCGCATGGGCATCAGCCAACTGAATTGCCGCTGCTTGACTGATGCCCCAAAAGGCAGCAGCAGGCTGACAATGAATGGGTCCTTATCTTCCTGGATGGGCTGCACAGGGCAGGAACTGGCCATGGGCTGGCCCAGGAAAACAAGGATTCAGAGCCACAGATGAGGCTGTTGTAAGATGAAAGTGAAAACGTTCCTCCCGTGGTTTCCTCGACTGTAAACAAAGAGCAGCTGCCCGAGTGGATCCGGTTCCCAGGAATTTGCAGGGAAAGGAGGTGCGGAAGCTTACCCGCTCAATCAGCTGGTGGCACGGGGGTACATGTTACTTCAGCACATGCTTTCAACTACCACACGACAAGACCCCACCCTGTGTCTTATTTCTAAGCACAGGGTTCCCTTATACGCAGCAAACACGGGAAGGGCGGCAGTGGAAAGGCGCACACTGTTCAGTGGAGACAGAGAGGGTGAATGGGTCTCCCGGCTGGTCCCCAGCAGTCCTTCACCTGGCCTGGCACACTCCCTCCCATCCTACCCGGGGCACATCCTGGCAGGCAGAAACCCAGGTTCCCAGGTTCCCTAACCCCGAGAAGGTGCCTCCCATGCACCTCCTGCTGCAGGGCAAAGCGGCCAAGCCAAAGGGCGCCCAGCATGCGAAACCTCCCTCACCAGAGGGGGCCGCTGTACTAGCTCAAGGCCACCTCCCCCTGGGAGCATCCTCCCTGCCCAGGACCTAAGGCTCTGCTTCAGAAATGAACCTGGGAAGCCCAACACTAATCAAATCTACGTGTCTCCATGATATGCAGCAGTTTGCAGTGTAAGAAAACATTCAGCCAATCGAATTGTTTTCAGCTATGCATCTGAATTTTGGGGGACTGCATTCCCCCCCCCCCATTTATATGCGGTTGCCTGGTTGCCAAAATACAACCATACACCTGGTAAAGAACAGCAGCAAAAGGAGTTCTGGCAGGAGCACGCCATCCCCGGTTAAGCTAATTCTGCTGCCTCTGGAGATGAGGTTGACAGAAAAGAGAGCCGGACGGCTGGCGAACGAGGGGGCACCTGTGGGGAAACCAGCGGCAAAGGGCATGCCATCTGCTAATAGGTATTTTTTTCTGGTTAATCAGTATTTTTAAAAATGTGCCTACCTTGATAATCTCTGCTTGGATGCCTGATAGGCATTCCGAACATTGGCATGTCCCAAACAAAGATCCTGATGTCATCAGCCCCAACCTTTCCTCCCACAGCCTCCCGATCTCAGTAGATGGCAGCGCCATTCCCTTCGCTGGCCAGGCCAGGCGCTGTGGAGTCATCCTCGTCTCCTCCCTTTTGACCACACCCACTTCTGATCCACCTACTCTGAAGGCATCTCCAGACCGCCACCCCTTCATCCCACCTACACTGTGGCCATCGGGGTCCAAACCCTCTCCGCCGGGAGGGCAGGGATGGCCTTCGCGCTGGTCTCCCTGCGCCACCCCCTCCCACGCTCCCACACCCCACCCCTAACAGCCTATTCTCAACTCATCAGAGGGAGGCTTTCAAATCGAAAAGTCCACCTCCCGTGTGATGAAAGGCCTCCAGGGGTTCCCATCACAGGGGAGTGCAAGCCCAAGTCCTTCGGCCCCTGAAATTCTTCCATCTCATCTCCCGCTCCACCCTACCGCCCCCTCCACCTGGCTGCACCGGCCCATCCTTGTTCCTTGAACAGAGGTATCTCCCGTCTGCCGCCTTGGCCTTTGTACCTGCAGTTCTCTTCCCTCGCATGCTCCCCCTCTGGGTCTCCTCCTGGCTCAGGTCTTCCTTCAAGTTTAACTCAAATGCTACCTTCTGAGTGAAGCCGTCCTGCTCTCCTAGTCAAAGTGGAAGTATCTCTGACATATCCTACCCTTGCTCTCTGACTTACTGTTTTTCCTCTGCAGCGCTGATCGCTAATTCATTCTGCGTTGTTCTTAGTCCTCTCTTCCTCCCCCCACGAGGATGTAAGCGCCATAATATTTTCACTGTTTGATCCAAGGGTCAGCAGCAGCGCCGTAAGGAGCCCAAGTGCCAGCAGGTACTCAGTAAATACATATTGAATATGAAAGTGAAACAGAGCAGTACTTTTAAGTCAAAGAATCTATTTTGAACGAGCCAAACAGGCTTAGGGAATTTTTAAACATTTACAATGAATTGGTAGGACGAATGATACAAATGAGACAGAAGACACCAAAATTCCAAGTCTTGTAATAATGGATTAAATGCCTGGGACCAGCTCTTCCACGGAAAACCCAAAAGCTGGCCTAACTATGCAAAAGTGCCTTCTGAAATACATTGCAGAATTTGAATCTAGAGAGGTAAACCTAACATAAAAAGCTGCCTTTGCCCTGAGGGTATTTGCTGCCCTAGAAGAAAGCTAGGAAGCTGACTGCGCGGCTGGCCTGCTCTAAGAGCCGGGAGGACCAAAGTCAGATCCAGCGACTTCCAAAGCAGTGAATTGGGACAAGCCATCCCCGCATGAAGCTGCGACCTCAGTGCCTATTAGATCTTTTCTATAGTCTGAAAGTCTGTGTCTCCCCAAAACTCATACGCTGAAATTCTAACCACAGAGTGATGGCATTAGGAGGCGGGGCCTTTGGGTGGAGAGGAGGTGGTGAAGGTAGACCCCTCATAAATGGGACTGGTACCCTTATGACGGCCACAGAGGTGCCTTTCCCCTTCCACCATGTGAGGATGCAGATGGCTGGCTGTCTAGCGAGCAGGCCCTCACCAGACATCAAATCTACTGGCAACCTCATCTTGGGCTTCCCAGCCTCCAGACAGAAATAACTTTTGGTTGTTTCTAAGCCACCCAGTCTGTGCTATTTTGTCTAGCTGCCTGAAAGGGAGGTGGGGGTGGGAAGAACTAAGAGAGCTCTCAGGACAAGGATAAACTAGAAGAAAGCAGACCTGCAGTCTGGCTTCTCGTGACCTGTGGAGTTCCAAACACCACAGGTTTGAAATTGTCTGCAGGTGTTCTCAGACGGACAGCGCCCCCAAGCCCTGGCAGAAGGAAATAAAACTCCTCTCTGAAGGAAGGTACCCTCATCTTAGGCGTCAGTTTAGTCCTATACATAAATTTACAAATACAATAACCAACACGCAGAGATAACCCAACATACCAAGAAACCCAATAGCAGGAGTGCCAAAAAGGAGTGACTTACAAACCTTGAAATTCAGGAATCGTAGACACGGTTTATTATGCAACCATGCCTACTCTGTTCAGAGAAATAAAAGACAAGCTTGAAAATTTCAGCAGAGAAGATACTGCCTTAAAAGATTTGAAAAGGAAATCAATAGAAATTCTACAGCAAATGCCCTTGTATGTGCAGAGCAGAGGGGGGATGGAATTGAACTTGGGGGGCATGTCATAACACTGACTTTACCTCCTAATAATGATAAAGGAAAACAGGGAATTTTCAAAATAAGACAGAGTATTCATTTTACAGGCTTCTCAGCCGGCATGAAGACAAGCAGTCAGCTAGCCACAAACACACAGGTTCCCAAATCCTAACGGTGGCGAGAAGCGAGCTCTCCAGAGTGAGTTTATAAAAAACGAGAGATGAGAACCAGCATCCAAGGTCACCCTTCCCCTTAACCACACACATGGAGGGCCCCTCCTGTACAGAGCCTGCAGGACACTTCCAAGCAGTCTGGTTTCAAGTGCACTGGCTGAGGACAGGATTCCTCAGTTGTCTCAAGAAGGCTCTGTTTGCTTCCCACCCTATCAGAGATTAACTCAAGGGATGCTAGAAATAATCATCATCCCTGCACCAAACAGCTGTGTCACATCCTGCTCCCCCTCCCTCCCGCCCTCAGCCACCCTCCACTAGCTGCTATCTTTAAGCCACCAAGCAGACAAGAGAAAAACAATTAGTCATCCCAGGTTTTGTCCGCTTTCCCCACAACCACCCATGTTATTCAAAGCGCAGTCGCGGTAGAAAGCAAGAGGGCTCTTGAAGCCAAGCAGGCACCTACAGGTCTGAACGACTTGAAGACTTTTTCCAAGACTTCCTGGAGTGTCTTCTTGCCGCAGGAAGAGATGTAGTCCTGTGCTAGCTGCAAGAAAGGCAGGCAGTCCTCGCTCTCGCTCCACACGTGCTGGGCGCCCACAGGCAGGCGGGGGAAGGAGAAAACAAAGACTCAGTCATTACACTCGCTGTGAAAGACAGAAAGCCAACACGATTTTTTTAAATTACATCCATTTTTTTAATCACATGAATTCGAAGGCTTCCTTTCCACAGTAAGATCGATACATTTCCTTCTTGATTTGTCTGCACTGAAGGGGATCAGAAAATGTACACCCTAAACAAAACCCTGTGCTTTTGGTCCATAATTCACCTGCTCAATTCGCCATCAGATTTGCTTCTGCGCTGTAAAAAAGGGCAGCGGGGTTGGTATTCTCTCGCCCGTGATTTCCATTGCGCCCCTTCCAGTGCAGGCTAAGGGTGGGTTTCAAACAGAAACGAGGAGAAACCTAGAGCCTGCAGGATCCTTAACTTCTCCTCTGGCATAGTATTTTGTAACCACTAGCTTGGAACAAGACCTTTTTACCCAGATTGGCTTGTAAGTGGGGGTGGCAGTAAATTTACTTCAGAATGAAATGAATTTGGGAGAACACACAGAAAAGTCGTCACTAAGTCAACGGGGGGGGGGGCGAGGGGGGGGGAAGACTTCTGAAAGCTCAGCTTCCCCTAAAATGCTTTTAAGAGGAATCACACCCAAGCCTCACTTCACAACGTTAACATGCAGCAAGAGGAGACTGACTCTAGGTTTTTATTTTTTCTTAAGACTAAACAAGTTCTTCTTTTCTTTTTTTCCCACATGAGGATATCCATTTTAGCACATCTGTGAGACTAGACAAGTCTCTCCCATAAATGTTCCAGCATTTGGAATGAACCCAAGAAATAGGCTTGAGAGATCTACATGTAGAAGAACAGGTGCTGGGCTACCAGGATAACACCAGGGTATCAAAACTCTCTGATTAGAGGGGACCAATTAATGACAGCTCAACACTAGTTTAAGAGACGTGTAGAGGCTCGGGAGAGAGGGAGACACTGGCAGATGAGAGGGGAAGAAGCAGGGGCTGGGCGGTGGGAGATGAGACCTCTTTGCAGAAGCGGACCATGTCACACACATACCTACTCCCCTCATTGATACAAATGATGAGGGCATTGCCCCAGCGGGTTCCATGCCCCGTCACTCAATAAACACATGTCACTGTCTTCCTTCTCACGGCAGCACTTCCAAGAACCAGACCTACAGACTTAAAATACTTCTCAGATCTAAGACTAACGAGGTGCTAATGTGCCACCTTTATAGGCAATTCTGTGCTGGCAGATGGAAAAGTCCGTTTCGGCAGGACACACGCGGCTCAGCTCCAGCAGACTTCCAGAGCCCTTCTGCCCCCTCCTGACAAACAGCTTCTAGGTTCTCTCACTTTGGGGAAGAGCTCAAACACGATTCCCTATTAATTAGAGACCCTGAAAGCTGTCAAACCACTGAAATGCCATTTATGCCAGTGTTTTCCAGTGCACAAAAGCAGAATCATACAAAGTGCTTTTGTGTCCATTATGTTTTTTTAAAGATTTTATTTACTTATTTTTAGAAAGGGGGAGGGAGGGAAATAGCAATGCGTGGTTGCCTCTCGTGTGCCCCCCCCACTGGGGACTTGGCCTGCAACCCAGGTATGTGCCCTAGACTGGGAATCGCACCAGCGACCCTTTGGTTCACAGGGGAGCACTCAATCCACTGAGCCAACCCAGCCAGGGCTGTCCATTATTGAACTTGATTCTTAATCAGAGGGGATTCAGCCAGAACAATTAAAATCCCACTTTAATGTAAGTTCTGCTTAGGACCCACATTCATATTCAAATTTTAAAAAGTGTATTTCAAATTCTTATCCAAGTTAAGATGGGATTATCCATCTCGCACCACACAATAGGAAACCTTTAAGCCCGTCTACCCTACACTTGAGGATGAGAGTAGAAGTAATAACTTTAGTAACTGCCCGACACAGGGCCTGGCTGGCACGCAGTCGCTGCTCAACACATGGCAAACCCAAGTACTCTCTTAGCCTTCTGAGCCTGCAGAAGAACGGGGGCGGGCGGGGGGTCTTTCCACCAGTCACACACACCCTGACCAAATCGGACACTCTATGCAACTTCACAGAGAACACTATCCAAGGCAACCTGGGTTATAGGTCATTCAGAAGTAGGTGTATCCACGGAAACCTTGTATACCTGTCTTTTTAAAGGTGCATTTGGGCTTTAAATTACAAAGTAAACTAAGGAAAGTGGATCACTCAAACACTATCAGAATGACAGCGTGCCCAGCTCTGCCGGAAATCAGACACTTCCCTTGGTGCAATGTCAGGAGGGCATCGCAAACCTCCCGAGGAGATGGTTCACGCCGCCGTTTCCATTGCTTCGCTTTTGCAGTTGTTGATTTGAGTATATCTTGGAGAAGGAAGACTTAGTACCCAATAAAGGGTTTTCTGTCCAGTCTGCTTCAACTGCCCTCGTTTGGCTAACTCACCCTGGATTCCCTGTCGTGTTGGTTTTCCGGGTTTAAAAAACAGTTGTCACTGAATCCTTGCCCTTGTAAACAAGCCTGGCCACTTGCTGGAAGAGGACACAGATTTGCCTCCGGAGACCCGTGCAAAGACAGAAGGCAATCAGTGCCAGAGACAGGGCCCGCAGATAACACGTCGCTCTTGAGAACTAGCAGGCAAGGTGCCAGGGGCCCATTCCAGCGCTAGGGAGGGCAGGAAGGATGGCAGGTGGGTGGGCTGACACTGCTGAAAACAAGATCGCAGGTCTAGTCTTGTACAGAGACAAATGGGTGACCAAAGCCCCGGAGTCCTGCCACCACAGGGCCCAGCCACCGCGACTTCAACTTGGAAGGTATCTGAAGCACGTGTAACCTAACTCCCACTCTGGCCCTGAAAAATTTCTGACAGGGGTCAGAGAACTCATGCCTTTGAACAATGAACAGAAGCTCCCAGGCAAATACAAATATAGGTCCAGAATGTCTTGGCTTTCCAACAGGGCTGTTCGAGTGAAGGCAGATCCCAGACCTCACGCGTTACAGCAGGGGAAATGCCAAGTGAAGGCTTCGCGAAGGGGAGGAAAGCAACGGGTCTTCAGCTTTAGTCTGCAACGGCCACCTGGGACTGTGAAAATTAAAACCCAGCTGCTGGGTCCCACCTGGGACTGACAGGGGTGGGGAGGGCGGGTGCGGCAGGGCTGCAAATTCGCATTTCCAGCAGGTTCCCAGGGGATGCAAAGATGCTGGGTTCTGGGACCGCACATACCTTGAGCACCAGAAGCAGAGCGGACCTTGAACTAACTCCAGATGTGGGGGTGGGGCGTGGAGGAGCGTTACATTTAAAATTCTGAGTGTCACTACTGACTAACACCAAGTCCAAAGCTCAGGGCAGCATGGGGCTGCGGCGAAGTGCTCCCCACCCCCAAAGCTCCCCTGAGCGCCCACTCTTTCTTACAGATTCCTCCCATTAGGGGTTGAAAGTCCCTGGTGAGAACTTGGATTTTAGAACAAACAGGACACGAAGGCCACCTGGGCCCTCTTTCTGTTATTACGGTAAGCTGGGCCAGAGTTTATGATCACACCAAGTCAACTGCAAACAGGAACGTGAGCACCTCTCTGCTCTCTATAGTGTAGATGGCAATGTCCAGCTTACCCAAAAATGGAATGAGAGCACCAAGGTCACCCAGCCCTACAAATAGCGTTTCCAGCACAGAGGGGCCCTGGGCCTCACTCTCGCTGGAGTCCTGCCTTGGGAATTTTCTGCCGTCATCAATACCGGAGGCGCCCATTTTGAGTAGGTGCGGCTTAATCCCAAATGGGCCGCTGCCCAGAGAAGAGATGGCATACGATGAAAGCCACAAGCCATCTCAGGCCACCCGACATATTTCTGCTCAGGGTGGGACGAGCACAGCTGGCTGGACTATGACCTGTTCCCCTGTGGGCCACGGGTCTGTTTTAGGGTCTGTTTTACCGAGGAGGTTGCTGAGGCTGGGGGGATGGGGGGTGTTGGTTAGGCAACGTGCCGGGGGTCACACAGGGAGCAAGGGGCAAAGCCAGGGCATCCCCAGGTGTGCATGCCTCCAACCAGAACCTCAGCTCCTTCATTTGTAAGACTCAGAAAACAATAATACTCACAGGGTGGTTATAAAGATTATAGGAGTTGCCTGGAGGCTGACTCTCATAAGCACAGGACCATCTATTTAAACTCATATTAGCATAACTTTAGCTTCCTCAGGATGAATCATTCCGTGAATAAATGAAGGACATCTCTTTTTTCCTGAAACAATCTCTCTGTATAAATAAGTTAGCCTTTGTGGAAAGCCTTCTGGTCTACCACTATTCCTTACTAAATCCTCACAATAGTAATTTAATGTAGATACGATAATCCCTATCTGACAGATGAGGAAACTAAGGGTAGAATTTAGATAAGAAAGTGCTTTCTCTCCACTATACTACCATATAAACACAATGCAATCTCATTTAAATGTTACATTTTCTTCTTAGAAATCCAGAGGTTGTTACTTGGTAACACAGTTAAGAATAGAGACACGCCTAGAATGAAAATGGGGAAAAAATATGGACACAGCCATAAGCACACATATAAATTTAAATCACAGAGTTTTCCTATAAATAAAACCTTTTTCTTTAATACTGTGACCGCTGCTATCTTTGTTTTTGTATTGAGGAATGATTAAACGCCACAAAATTTTAGATTCAAACACGTTTTGATGGGTTGGCAGAAAAAAGAGGGCAACAGAGGAGTCTTTCCTTTGAACTCCCCGCAGGCAGGGCACTGGCAGCTTCATTTTATCCCAGGCCCTGACCTCATGGGCCATCCACAGAGAGAGGCCCGAACCAGGGCAGCGGCTCGGAGGAGGACAGCGTGGACTGGACGGCCTGGGAGGTGAGAAGGGGAGAGGGCCCACGAGGGACACAGGAGCTGCCAAAGAAGAGGGAAAGTCAAAGGAAGTCCTTGTTCCGAGGCCTCTGGAGCTACTGGCCTGCTCCTGTCTGGGGGACATTGTGTGTGGCAGAAAGGATAGGCTGCTGGGCTTGGGCTCAAGTCCTGGCTCCTTCACTTCTTAGTGGTGTAGTCCTGGACGAGTCCCTTAAAGTCACTGAGCCTCAGTTTCCTCGCCTCTGAAATGGGGATAAGAGTACCTACCACAGAGAATTTTTGTGATGCTCAAGAGGCTGCCCTTGAACCCACAGTCTGAACTGGGTCCCCAGGTGTCACCCTGGTGCTGTGTTTTCAGTGTTGGTCTCTGTTCAAGCTGCTCTAGCACTTAAAATCTGTGGGGAATTAGTAAACCTCACTGAGCTTCCATTTCCTCATCTGTAAAATGGAGATAATTATAGAGTACCTTATGAGACTACTAAGATTAAAGGATGCTAAGGGCTTAGAGCACTGTCTGATACAATAACAAACTGCACACTAGCGGTAGTTGTTATTATTGTCATTCTTTGACACTGTCACTCTTGAAACTTAACATCTGTCTTCCACACTAGACTGTCCTTCATTCATTCATTCTTACAAACACAGACTTACAAACACTGACACTGGTCCCAGGGCTGGGATACAGTGATGACTAAAACAGACGCGCTCACTGCTCTTACAAAGCTTCTAAGTCTGGGGGGTGGGGGGAGGCAGAAAATAAACTACAGGACTTAAAAGCACTACTAAGTACTAATGAGTGCTACGATAAGACTAAAAGAGAGTGAGGTGCAGGAGTATGTGGTCAGAAGGTTTCTCCCAGGACTGAATGGCGGAAAGGAGCTACCCAAGTAAAGATGTGGGCAGAGAATGTTCTAGGCAGAGGGAGCAGCAAGTGCAAAGGCCCTGCCTGAGCTTGGCACGTCTGAAGACCAGAAAGCCCAGTGTGGCAGGAACACGGCAAGCAAGGGGGAGGGGGAAGGGGGAGGGGGAACGGGGAGGAATGAGGTCAGAAAGGAGGCAAGAAAGAGATCACGCGTGGGCTTGAAATCAGGACAAGGCACAGGTTTCATGGTAAAAGTAATGGGCAGAACACTTCGGTGACGTGGGGAGAGTGGGACATGACCTGGATTACACCTGAAATAGACCCAGAGACGCTGCCAGACTCATTAATATCATCACACCCATTTTAGGCATTGTTCCAAATTAGCCAGCTGGTAAGGTACAAATATTATCTTCCCCGTTTTACAGATGTGGACATCGTGGGATAGAGAGATTAAATAACTTCCACCAAGACGTACAGCTAGATGTGGTGGGCTGTGTGCAAACCCAAGCAGCCTGACCCCAGAGCCCGTGTGCTCCTAACCGCTAAGCTAAACTGCCTTAGATGGGTAGAACCGCCGAGGAGGAAGAGGGCAGAGGCCCTATTTGTATCCTAGGTAGCCCTGGCCTGGTGCAAAACCAGCCCTCAATAACTGCTCGTTGAATCAATGATGTGAGAACACCTTGAGAAATGTTACGCAAATATTCGTATTACGAAACCCTTCAGATTATAGCAATTCCAATCATTTCCAGTTCCTTTCAATGCTTAACAGATTTTCCTGGAAAAGGGAAAAGAACACGGTTAGGACATTTATGTCAAGCCTGAGCTCCCTTCACTAGCAGCAAACAGCAGCTCGCAAACCTGGCCTGGGGCAGACTAGAGCAGACGTCTGGGCTAAGAAAACTCCAGCGGTTGGCATCTTGTCCATTACGGTCTCTAGAAACTTTCAAAAAGTGCCTTGTCTACCCAAGGAATTACTCTCCCCATCTTCTTTCTTCCTTACCCTATTTCATTTCATTGTCAGTGACTGCACATGTTCAAGCACTTTATTCAGACAGGTGGGAAAACGCTGAAAATGCGGGTGGTCTTGAGAAAGCCTGACAGACACTTTGAATGGCTCGATAAACATATTCAAGGCGAGACAATGGCCTTGCATTTTCTCCACCCACTTAACCTCCGCGGAGTAGTTCTGCCGTCTCCTTCAGTGCCAGCAGGAAGGCTGGGTGGAACTCTCCCCATCAGAACCATAACCTTGCGAGATCCTCGCACCAGGCCACACAGTAAGGAGGGGGAAAGGCCACTGGCAGGCGAAGGAAGCCCAGGGCTGGCGCGGCTCCTGACCAAGCCCTACCAGGGCAGTTTGTTGGGTCCCGGTGCCCTTTCCACTCTGGCCCTGGGGCTTTCTCACACTTTTACAATGGAGTGAATCCCTTTTTAATGACCTCTCACTCCTCCCAACAACAAATAACATTTATTTACTTATTCTAACTACAGTTAACAATGTCCTTACATACATTTATAGCTTAATTGCTCTTCACAAGGGCCTGTGATGGAGGCACTCTGATTTACCTGATTTTACAGGTGAGAACATTGAGGATCTTTAAAAAGAGACAAGCTCTCAACTTAGGGAACCCCAGATCCCACCTCTGATCCAAAATTTGTGGGGTTCTCGCTGTGACTGGAGACTGTTAGGTGCTTTATCTGTCCAATCGCTGGGGCGCCGGTATCAACCCTATTTTTTTATTTTTATTTTTTGGATGTGTAAAGTGAGCTGAGTGACTGCAACTGAGCAGAGTCACACGGCCAGAACTCAAATGTGGCTGTCATCCAGGGACATCCCTCTTTCAGAATGTCGCAGGGCTAGGGCCCAGGTGGGTTCTTCCCCTCCGCGGGGTGGGTGGAGGTGGTGGTGGGGGGCATGTTTTATTGCCAGCACCACCTCTCTGGGACCAAGAACGGAGATCTCGCTGTCTCTCTTAACTCCTTCGAGAACTTCCCGTCGTGGTAGGGGTGCGCATCGCCGCACACCTCGGCCCCCAGCTTTGTCACACCCCACCTGAGGAGCCAGGGCCAGGCAACCTCGCGGCGCCACCCTACCTCCGTCCGCAGGGGCGGCAGCAGCGCCAGCTCGAGGCTCAAGCCGGTGACCACACGATAACCCGTGCCCAACGCTGCCTCCATCTTACATTTGGGGGACCATTATTTTCCCCTGTCCTTACAAACACTTCATAGAGCGCCATCCTGGCCCAGTCTTCCCACTTCCCACCCCAACTCCCTGCCCTCCGCATCACCTTCCTAAATTGCCAGCGCCAAGATCCCAAGTGGGCGCAGGGTGCAAAGTCAAAGATTTGGACACAGCAGTTCCAGGTCCCGGTCCCTCCGAACCTGGGGCTGGAGCGGGGATAGGCAATTCCCTCTCATCTGGAAAAACCAAAGGGCTTTCGGGGGCCGCGGCCGGGGCCTCAGCCGGACACAACCCGCTCAGAAGCTCATAGAGGAGCAATGGAAGAACAGGGGATAGGCGTGCCCGTGTGTGTGTGTGTGTGTGTGTGTGCGCGCGTGCGCACGCGCGCGTGCGTTTTTAAGATCCGGGGTGTAATTCCGCAAAGAAGGTCCAGGAGATGGGGCATCGCTGGTGTGGACAGAGGCTTTGTGTCCAAACACGCAGCTTAGGAAATAACCTAGGGGGCGGGTGGGGTTCCCCAGGCAGGGACAACTGGAGGACTTGTGTCTGCACATCGGAAGGGAAGCGGGATTCCTCACCCAGGCGGGACGCCTGGGTGTAGGAAGCTCCGGACTCTGGATCCTGCGGGAGGGTCCGTGCGCCCCGAGCCGGGCTGGTGCGACGCGGGACACGCTGGAGATGCTCCAAGCCAAGCACAGCGCACGGGCCTCGGGGTCGTGTCCCCGAAACAGTCCGCCCTAGCCCCGCTCCCCGATCCTAAGGGCGCCCCTGCCTGCCGCCCACTGGCCCCACCCGGGGCGCTGACACCGGCTCGCCGGGCCCGGGGGCTTGCCCCGCGAAGCTCGGAGCAGCTGGGCGCGCGGCGGAGACCGGTTCCGCCCCCCCACCCCCACCGCCCACAGCCTCTGGAGCGGGCGGGAGCTCGGGCGCAAGGAAGCGGCCGCGCGGCTACACTCCCTCGCGCTGCTGCGGTCCCTCCCACAAGCACTCACAAAATTGTCCCCGCAGCCGTTGTCCGGACACAGCACGTAGAAGGAGACGCCGGGGTCGGCGTAGAAATCCATCCTGCGCTCGGTCTCCTCGGTGGCAATGAGCTCGAAGGGCGTGTTGGAGCACCATTTCTCCGCAACGTCAGCTAGCTGCTGGAAATCCATCCTGGCCCGCCGCGCCCTCCGCTCCCTCAGCCTCCTCTCCGCCGCCCGCCTCCCGCTCCCTCCGCCTCCCTCCCTCCTCTTCTCCGGTGCCCTCCTCCCGGGCGGGCAGCGTGCAGCTCCGCAGGCTCTCGGGCAGGCGGCGGGGCCGGGCAACACGGGATCCCTCCGGTCCCGGGGCTCCTCCCGGCGGGCTCTGTTTACATGCTGTGTGTAACGGGGTGGGCGGTGGCCAGGGACCGCGCTGCGCCGCGCCCGGCTCCTCCTCGGTCCGCCTCCCCGCCCGCCCCCTTTCGGGCCGCCGGGGTAGCTGGCACGGACTGCGGCGGGGCGGGGCGGGACGGGAGGAGCCAGACGCTCCGCGGGCTCCCCATCCCCCTCCCCCCCCTTTTTTTTTTAAATAAAGGAACCTGGAGCATCCCGGGGCCCTCGCGCGACCGGGGCCACCCCGGACCGTGACGTCATGGGCCACAGCCAATCACCGGAGTCTGAGACCTGCACCCTGGCTAGCGAGCCGGGTGATGTCACAGCGCGGGCCCAACGTCCGCGACTTTCCCGGTTGCAGTGAAGCAGATAAAGCTGGCAGTCCCTGTTAGCGTTTATCTGGAGTTAGGAGGCCAGGAAAGCACTTTCCTGAATGCGATTTAAATGCATGGGATACCCACAGAATTGCAGATAACTTGTCCCTTGTCTGAGGCTAGCCTTGGAGGAGCTGAGAAAAATCTAAAGGGAAACGGAGCTTTTCTTGTTCTGGATCAAAGCTCTGCCCTCCAGTGGATGTAAAGAAATGTTTCCCCTAAACACATTTACTAGACACTGATATGAACGTCCACTTGGAAAGGTGAAACGTTCGTGGGTTGCTCTTTTTTTTTTTTAAATTAACCTGAGTATTTCTTAGAAAGAAGCCTCATAAGACTGTCTTGAATATTATTCAGCTCCACTTCATATCGTATAACCTAAAATGATCAGCTGCTAGTTTGGAAGAGGAGAAAGTAAATTTTAAAACAAGAGAACATGGCCCAGCGATTGCACCTGTTGAGCGCTCACTGGCGGCCGGGACACCGCAGGCATTGCTGGATTGCAGAAAATGCACTGGGAGCAGACCTCGCCGACGGGAACTGAAGGGCTGCCAGCAGGGACACGTTCAAATAGCATTCATTCTACAAACATTCAAACTGGCTTCTATCTTTAAAGTCTGTCTTCTGAAGCAGACACCGTGCTAGCCCTAGAATATAAATATGAATAATATGTGGTTCCACCCTCAAAGAGCTGCCATATTAGCTAAGAGAAACTCACAACACCATGAACTCCTGTGAACACACCCTTTACTCAATACTATAGATGTGATTCTGGTAAGTTTTCTCTTGCATATTTCTGGAAAAGGAATTCTTTTCTCCTTGACTTACCTTAATAAATGAAAGCTGCCTTCCTACAGTAAAAGTAGAAATGGCACTTAATCTTTTCGTAGAATCAGAGGTCCAGATGTTGATCAGCCCAAAGACATCCTGGGCATTGCATTTTACCTGATTTTATTTTTTCCCCTGAGAAAGCCACCCTTACCTGGACGTTAATGCTCCCATGTAACAATTTCCTGACTTCCTAATTTCCCAATTCCTTCAAAACAACTCAGTTCAGTGAAGATTTATGAAACATCTATTGGATACGAGACAAAGATGCACAAGGCCTGGTATTTTGCCATCAAGGAATTTGCAGACTGTAAAGTAGGCAGGACTCTAAGACCTCTGAGATCCCTGCCATCCTGGTGTTCATACCCTCCCAAGTATTTAAGCAAACACTAATGTAGATACTGCTCTAAGGGATTTTGCCTGTGTAATTAAAATCTCAAATCAACTGATCTTAAGATGGGGCGATTGTCCTCGGTGGGCTTGACCCAATCAGGTGAGCCCTTTAAAGGAATTGGGCTCTTCCTGGCAAGAGGTTTGAAACACAGAGTAAATTTATCATCAGGGAGATTCTCCACTAATAGCTTTGGAGATGGAGGGGGCCACCAGGCCAGGACCAGAGTCTAGGAGCCGAGAGCAACAGCCAGCAAAAAAATGAGACTTCAGTCTTACAACCAAAGGAAGCGAATTCCGCCGAATATTTGAATGAGCTTGAAAGTGGACTTTACACAGACCCTCTAGACAAGGACTCAGTCTGACTGATACCATGGGAGACCTTCAGCAGGACCCTCAGTTTTGTCGTGGCTGTGCTGGAACTTTTGACTCACAGAACAGCGAGCTAATAAATGGGGGGTGTCTTAAATTGCTAAGTTTGTTTTAATTTGTCAGGCAGCAGTAGAAAACTAATACATAGGACAATGGAGGTGAGAGACATATGAATTAAAAAGTTCCATGTGTGCCATGGCTGTTGTAGCTCAGTTGGTTAGAGCCTCATCCCGTAAACCGAAAGGTTGCAGTTTTGGTTCCCAGTTAGGGCGCATGCCTAGGTTGTGGGTTTGATCCTAGGTCTGGGCATGTACAGGGCATGTATGGGGTGTGTAAGAGAGGCAACCAATAGATGTTTCTCACATCAGTGTTTCTCTCCTTTCTTCTCTCCCTCCATTCCCCTCAGTGAGCATGTCCTCCGGTGAAGATTAAAAAAAAAAAAATCAATATGCTATTGCAATGTTACAAAATGTTGCTTGCCCTTCCTTCCTTCCTTCCTTCCTTTCTTCCTTCCTTCCTCCCTTCCTCCCTTCTCCCTTCCTTCCTCCCTTCCCTCCTTCCTCTTTTAAAAATACACAGACCTCAAGATAAAGCAAGCTTCTTGCAGGTATACCTGGTTCTGTCATTTAAAGAATATGCACCTGGTTCTGTCATTTAAAGCATATGCATTAGTCTGAAAGTTCCAAAAATGAAGAGCTTCCTTGAATTAGAGACTAAAATATAGAAAATACATAGCTTTTCTTCTTTTTAGAAGGGAGGGAGTTTAAAAAATACATCTCTTTTTAAATCCATCTTTCAAATTTGCTCCAAGTGATGGATGACCATAATTACAAAGTTATATTTACTCAACAAATACTTTTCATCAGAATCTGAAATATTCTCATGCTGAAAAATAGAATTCTGTGTATAGTGCAATTGCTCAATGAATTGAACAAACACTGTTGTTTTTCTTAGAAAGGCATTGAGTTAAAGGGCAGACCTTTTGGTGTTCTGGGTTGATTCCTACCTCTGCAATGTCAAGTGTCATGTACATCTGCAATTGACTTAATTGCCCAAAGCCTCAGTTTTCTCTTCTGAAAATGGAGAGAACAGTGAGATAAAGTATGAAAAGTCTTTATTCCAGGACCCGGCACATGGTAAGAACTCAGGAATTGCTATTATTACTATTCAACTGCTTCTTGGGAATGACTTGTAGGAAGATCAGCTGATTAGTTCCAGGAGTTAAACTCAGGAGTGCCACGAAGACTCCCAACAAGGTGAGGACTGGTGGCAGATGAAGAGACATCTCTTTTTTTTTTTGCAAGCATGTACAGCAAGGCTTCTCAACAGCAGCACTGTTGATATTTGGAGCTGGATGACGCTGCCTTAGCAGAATGCCTTATGCATTGTAGGATGTTTCGCAGCGTCCTTGGCCTCTTCCCACTAGCCAATGGCATCTCTCTCCACTCCCCCCACCATTGTGACACCCTAACATGTCTCCAGACATTGCCAAATAAACCTTCCCTGGGGGGCAAAACTGCCTCCACTTGAGACCCACAGATTTAGAGAAAAAGGTCTTGCACCAGTTCTGTTTCAGCCATTTTATTAACTAAGGGAGCGGGTGTGCAACGAAAGCAGTGGAAATTAGTCCTGGGACGTGCACCTGCAGAAGTTGCTTGAACCTGGGAAAAGTCAGCTGCTTAGACAGACAGACAGACCATAAATCACTCTGCATCCCTCCCACTTGGGCCTCCTGGAGGGATGTATTCAGGCTCGGGGAACAGTTTGTTCCAGAACTTCAGCCAGATCTTTTGTATAGCCTGACGGTGAAGAAACATCGGGGCAACCTGAATCCCGTTTTTTTGGCGGGGGGGTTTCCTTTGGGCATGGTTTGGAAGTAGACAGAAATTAAAACGCATCCCCGCTAGTGGGCAGAGAGTTGTGCAGTCCTCATGGATTTAGAGAAATGTTGTTTCTCTTCCTTTATATGAATCTAGACTTTGCTCTCTCGCGAACCACTAAACAGTGGAGACTGTTGATAAGAAGAGAACTATTGACTGAAACCCCACGCAGGCCACGAGGTCTCAGGAGCCCGGTTTGGAATTGCAAAGTCCACCCTACATTCTCTTGCTCACGTCGATTCTTCCACTGACCCCGTTCCCAAGTCCTCTGTGACTTTTATTCTAGCGTGACTTTAACATACAATTTTACCTTTTGTTTACTGCCACATTGTGAATCCTCTTAATTAGCCCTGCCCGCCGATAAATCTGCTTCTTCCACACAGTCTTGTAGTTACGTGGTTTGGGGAATTTGGCAGAAAGGGAAGTGTGGTAGCTGGTCCACATTTACCCTCCGAGCCCAAGGTAGTTGCCTTGTATTAAGGGAGACTGCAGACCCCAAGGGCCAGGAGGTGTTGGGCAATAGAGAAGGCTGCGATTTGTCACAGAGGTGATGGGAGAGGTCATAGGACCCTAGGATCTGGAGAAGCAACACCCAAGAGGGAACTTAGGAGAGACGAATGCTATCCACTCTCCGTCTCACCTTCCCTACATACTCAAGAAAGGTGACACCTGGAGGCTGGGAGGATAAATAGCAGGTAGGCACCTGAGCTAAGCTCATGGCCCATGTTTGTTTCATTCCAACTAGAATTTGGAAGGAAAAAAAATTAAATAGAAAGATCAGCAAAAATTAAAAATCTACATACATAAGTCATTGTGACCCAAGTACCCCATAAGGTCCAGGAGGAGGATTTACTTCAGCATTCCTGCCCTCTGGCCAGAAAAATTCATGCTGAATTTTGTTTCTGCATCTGTCAGTCTTAGTTTTACAGAATCATTACTTTTTTCTTATCCCTCTCAAAGGCTTGAACCTAGAACTTGAGGAAGTTCTGGATTACTTAGTTTGTCTACACTTTCTGTCAAAACATGTCCTTCTAACAGTCAGCTGGTAAACATTTTCCTTTTCTACATGTCTGAGGAACAGAAATAATTTAATTTGTTTCATTTCTTTTTCATTCATGCAAACACTTCGATAATCCATGCTGTCCGGTCATCTCCCTCT